AATTAATTACAAACAACAAAGTTACACAATGAATTACACATGCAGTTTTAAAGTAGAAAGACTAAAGACTATTCTCTTGCAAAACTGTGTTTTTACAACTTTTATTCAGTTCACTAATTATAAATTTTATGTGGTATTTACAACTTTGTTTTGTGTGTGTGTAGTCATAAAAATTAAATATCCTAAAATCTTTACTTATCAATTTCAGTTTAATCACATTTCAGAACAGAGCACTGGTTAGCCTATATTATAGAATAATTTTAATAAAACATTTATTTACAATATTTATAAGTGGAAAGCGTTTACATTGTTTTTCACACTACAGATCCAGATAGAGAAAGAAAGAAAAATATAGATAGAAAGAAAGAATGAATGAAAGAAAGCGATAGAAAGAAAAGATAGATGGATGAACAATCAGTAACACTGGATTAAAACCTGACATTTTTATTCTATGAATCTACGATCATGTTAATATATTAATATTTAATTGCATCAATAGACAAAATCAACATATAACTTTATTAATAGGTAATTAATACAAAACAAAATGTTATAGGTAATGTATAATAATATTAATGACTGATTCACAGATTTTGCTTCATTATTACTAACAGCTAGAAATATTTGTTTATTTAAATCATATGTACTTCTTTCATTTATTTGTGTGTGTGTGTGAGTGTGTGTGTGTGTGTTTTTACCAAGATCTAATCCTGTTAACTGAAGTGTTTTTTGCTAGTTTGATTGATATTTCAATAGAAAACATCTAATATATGTGCGTGGGAAGGGTTTTGCTCCTGGCTTTTCGCATAAATGCACTTCTCTCTTATGATATGGATTTTTAATTTCTCCCCTTCGTAAGTGTTAAATCAGAATGCTTTTGTGCCTGTTATGTCAATTAAGAGAAATGAAATGCATTAATTTCCCACACGGCTGAATTAAACGTGATGCCGTGGCAAAAACGAATCAGTGAGAGCTGATGTACAGAAACAAATGTTGAGCTGAAGACACTGGAAATGTCATTCATCAGTCCAGATGTGAATTCAGTGCTGATATATAGACATTCATCTTTCCAAAAAGTCAAATGAAACCGAGATGTGAACCTGAGCGTGTGGCGGTGCTGATCTATTGACTTGTTTTCTCTAAACGTGATGCTTCTAGAGGAACGTAAATGATGAGAATACATGTCAGCTGCGCTTTGCCTCTTGCATTTGATTCATGTATTACATTACTGCTGTTTTAATTACATGAATAATTGAAATGTAAATCATATGATCATGTAGCACTGCCTTAGTGACAATACCATAGAGAGAGTTTTCTAGCTGCGAGAATAAGCAGCTGTTTGTATTCTTTGGAAAGCTCACAATGTACTTGTGAAAAAATGATTTATTTATTAAATCACAAACAAATATAACAAATACATATTTTGTATTTGTTGTGTTTTTTGGCGTAATCATAAACTAGATCTTATCTGTGATCTGTGTGTTTTGTAGAATCAGCTGTAGTATATTTGAACAATAAATTCATCACAGTAAATCAGCTCTAATGTGTGATGAAACGATTCGATCAAATGTGATAAAACGACTAAATTGTTCAAATCAATGCGAAATTGCAAATGTACAGATTTTTACGCTGATTTAATAAAATTTTACTGAAATGAACTGACTTCATTGCTTTTATAATTTTCGGATCTTTTCTCAGGGTCAGTGCTTTGCATTTATAATGCCAGAAAATCTTATTAATTGAAGGATGGATTTAAATTAAACTAATAAACACATTGGTCACAATTGTGTTGACTGTGAATAATAAATTTGATTAATTGGCTTTTGATGGTCCTCATTCTGCAGAATGATTATATGTAAATGAATTCTTCTTAAAGTCTTTTCTGGCATTGTGCTTGCTTTGTGTAGAGGATTTTTGAATTCATTTTCATTGATTTAAAAACTATGATTCACATTTAGTAAAAATAGTATTTTACTGTAAAAGACTATTTAAGTCATCATTTTTGCTAGCATTTGGTTGCTTCTAACCAGGTAGAAGCTGTAAAAAATACCACAGTTATCATATATTGTGCTTTTTATTTTTCGATTTTGTTGAATTGTCTTTTATTAAAGTATTTACTTTTGCAGTATTAACTTTTACATGTAATAAAATCTAATTAAAAAGTTAAACGGGTGATGAATTAGATTCTGTCACGTGGCAGTCAACTGAACAGTACAGTTATTGCAGTTATGTGTCATTTAGTTTAATCGTTCTTTGCTATTTTTTGCAAGTGGTTTAGTCACTATATTTAAATAGGAAAAAATATTTTTCAGAATTGTGCATTTTATGCAAGAAACATGATCAAATGTGTTTTTAAAGATTGCTTTCATAATGCAGGTGTATATTGAGAGATCAGTAGTTCTGATCGATATTGATATTTATCAGTGATTCTGACAGATCGGTTGATAGTTTTTTTTGTTTTTGTTTTTTACAGTACTTAGAAAATCTCTCTCTTGAACCATTCTCCCTTATGGATTATTATATGACATGAAATTAAAATGTATGGATCTTTCTGTAGATATGACTGATCCGTTTGATGTCTATAAATATTTGTTTAAGCTATGTGTATATATTTTTTTATATTAACATTTTTGGTTCCTATAATCAAATGTGTTAGATTCTGTCAGGTGGCACTTCAAATATTTAAGTAAGTTAAAATTTGTTTTTGATTTCAGTGAGGTAATATTGTGCATTTTATGCAAGACCAAATGTGTTTTTAAACATTGCTTTTGTAATGCAGGTTAATGTGATATTCACAGATTGCAAGTTGTTATTTCTAGTAAGCTAAATCTTTCTCTTGAACATCTATAATATCTTTCTCTCCCTGATAAACATGAAATGTTCAAGATTTGATGGATCTTTCTGTAGATATGATCAATCTGTTTGATTTCTATAAATATTTTAGAATGATAGTTTTATAATGTGGCTCCTAAAAGTTAAACTAGGAGCCAAATGTATTAGATTCTGTTAGGCAGCAGTTATAAAGACAGTTACATTAATATTTGGTGATTAAAGAAAATAAATGTACTTTAGTTGCTTTTTCCTGCGAGCCTGCTGAAAATCTATTCAAATATGTGACGATCGGTTGAGATGCTAAACAAATCCCGATTCAATTAGCGGTAGGAGTTTATATGAATGTATGTCTGAGGGGAACTTACTGTCTTTAGAAAAGTTTAGATGGTAATTTCATCTTGCCTCTGTATAATGCATATTAAAGTTCATAAGTGCAGCGCTGCTTTGCTTACAGCGGAAACCAAGGAAATGCTTTAAGCGCCACCTGCTGGCAGAGAGTGAATCTGCATCTTGTTCAGCTCGTCTGCTGTTTCGGTTTCATGCAGATATTTTTTAATGTATATTTTCACAAAACTGAAGTCAAACCATTCTGTTTTTGCTTCAAATTTCGAAATTATACAATGTAATTTAGATTAAAAACACGTTGCATGTATGCAGCATCTTTGTTTGGAACATGATTAAAATGCAGTGGTTGCCTCTCATTTTAAATGGAAAGAGCACAGACAAAGCCTAGTTTTGTTTATATGAAGAGATTTCTTTTATTTGTGTTACTTAGTTAGTTGATTTGGGGCTTGTTTTAAAATTTCTATTTAGTTTTGTTATTTATATTTACATTATATTTACATTTTGTTATTTAGCAAACGCTTTTATCCAAAGCGATTTACAAATGAGAACAATAGAAGCAATCAAAACCAACAAAAGAGCAATAATTTACAAGTGCTATATTAGTATATTATTATAGTGTTATATTTCAATTTCACAAAGCATTTTATCCGAGCAATAATAAAAGGACACATTTAATTTATAATTTGTTTTAAATCTCATTTTGTTACAAAAATTGCGAATCGAATCGTTACATCCCTATTCTTTAGTATTTTGACATTGGCAAATGATTTAGTGCCTCGATCACTCGCTTTACTACAAATATTTAAATAAGCAAAATCTGTTTTTCAAGATCAGTTTTTTTTACTTCAGCAATGAGATTCAGAAAAGTGATCAAATGTGTTTTTAAACATTGCTCTTGTAATGCATATTAAGGTGATTTTGACCGATTGGTAGCTCTTGTTTTTTTTCCAGTACCAGAAAATCTCTCTTTTTAACATCTATATATCATTCTCTCCCTGATTTTATTATATGCCATGAAATGTTCAATAATCTGTGTTGATAGGACTTGTCTGTTTGATATTTATAAATATTTAGATATTTATAGATGATATAAGTGCATGTGTATCTGTATTAAATGAAGTGTGTGTGTGTTCAGAGTAAGCTGGTGATGGAGGGCTTCAGGAGCTTACGGGAGGGCGAGCAGGTTGAATTCACCTTCAAGAGGTCGAGTAAAGGTCTGGAGTCGCTCAGGGTCACGGGGCCCGGCGGGGGTCCATGCTCGGGCAGTGACCGACGCCCCAAAGGGAAGGCCCCGCCCCTCAAACGCAAACCAAAGGGAGACCGGTGAGTGTGCTGAGCATGATGGGATATGTAGTTTAATATGTTTTGTTGCCATTTCTGTCATGAAACTTAACTGGACTAAACTGGGTTATTTTCAGTTGTTTATTCTGCAAACATGTAATATTAATAGTTCAATGGGCACTAAACTGTAGATTAACTATAAATGGTATCTTGCTGGACGAATGTTTTTAGGTTTTATTCTTTGTTATTCATAGCTTGTCTTTAGCAGTTGCTGCTGGTTTTTCTAAATCTTTAGTTGGTTGAAAATACTTTTCAGAAGTCAGAACAAAAGTCTGCTTTTATTATTTATAATAATAGCTGTATTGCTAATCTACTAGTGTTGTTTAGTAGCAGTGATTAATAATCCAAATAACTGGAACAATTGGAAGTTATTAATTAGTAAAAGCTGATTTAAAATATTGATTAACATAATCGATCTGTACATTTATAAACATTTTAAGAGAAGAGATCTATAATCTAGAAAAGACTTAAACGAATTGGTTTCTATTAAGGTTTAATTTCTTAACATTAGTTAAGCACATTACTTTAACAATTAACAATACTTCTACAGCATTTATTAATCTTTAATAATGTTAACAGTTTTTATGATCAAACGTTTTGTCTTTAAAATTGCACTGTGAATTAACATGAACATTTTTATTAACTAAAATTACTTAAGGTTAATAAAAGCTGTAAAATATATTTCTAATTATTAATGGATGTCAGAGAATGTATTAACTAATAATGTTAACAAATGAGACCTTATTGTGAAGTGTTAACCAAATGCTTTATTTTATTTATTTTAAATGTTTTCTAATTCAAAATATACTCAGATGGCATAATAATAAATTGATATATGCAATAGAGCAAGGGAATTATATAATCACATGCTGCATTTAATTTAAAATATTCTTTTATATAAAATAATTGATTTATTTATGATTCATCTGATAGTGTACAATTTTTATGCAGACAGGATTATTTATCTAAAATCTTGTATTTCTGTTTTACACAAGCATTTTCTTCATACTAGCCGCTTTTGATTTGATGTGGATGTGTTTCAGGGTTAAAATTCTCAATGTTCACATATCAATTAAAAAGGCTCTCGCTTTCTCTGTATAACAAAATCAATTCCAGTATTGATAACAGTCTGTGAAGCCACACATCTTGTACTTTTCAATGTAGACCGCTCATAGTTTGGTTTCGCCAAACGCTTTCTGTTCACGACTCGCATTGATTGTGAGTCTGTCTTCTACTTTGTGTTGCCATGGTGATCAGAGCAAAAAAATAAAAATCCAAACTGAATAAGTCTTTTCAGTCTGTTGTGTTGTAGCTATTTATAAGTATGTATATGTGCGTGGGTGAGCCGTTTATCACATAGTCTGTCACTATAGATGCGCTAACAAAAAACTAGACATTAGACGATGGACGTTTTATTGAAGACGACCTGAACTGATGATTAAAAATGCATTTATGAAGAATTTTTTAAAGTAATTAATCTGGTTGAAACACAACAGGTGCATTAGGACACGGCTCATGAAATTGGCTCATAACGGGACCTTGCTAAATGCATTGCATCAATTTATTAATAATAATTGAATAAATTATTTAAACATGGTAACTAATCAATGACAGTGTTAATTTAACTGAAAAACAATTGATTTTACGTAAGTTCAAGATCATGTAATAATCATCTTAAATACATGAGCTTAATTAATCTTTAGTTTATATTAATAGTTCATTATATCGAATAATTTAGTTTAACGGTTCTTTCTTTGTATCTAGAGTCTGGGTGTCAGATGCTGTCAAGCTTCACAGTGTAAATTTAACTAAAAAGTCTCTAGACAACTGATTTTATGTCAGTTTATCAGTTGAAGTACATAAATATTGACTGTAAATATCAACAGTGAATATTGTGATGATGTGCAGCTGAAAGTTCAAAATCATGCAATAATCATTTTATGAGGTTAATAGAAATTATTATTTATATTAACCGATTGTTTAGTTTAATGGTTCTTTCTTTGGTTCTAGAGTCTGGATGTCAGAAGGAAAATGATGCTGTCGAGTTTCACAGATTTTTGTGTTGGTTTTTATGAAATTCAGTTTTTATGTTGTGATATTGAAGAGCAAAAATGCAAATGGTCTTTTATTTTTAAGATTGCATCATTACATTTTCCTTGACTATAGGCTATTTATGTTTTAGATGTGAATGTGTGAGGAGATGAAATGATGAAATCAAAATAATGATCAAATGTGTGTCAATCGCAAACGTTCTGGCTTTATTTATTTGTAGTTCAGCGCTGATGTCAGCTCAGTCTTGTGAAGTTTGTTGGTCTAATATCCAGCAAATTCAGCTGTGATGCTGTAGTTGATCCACGCCGCCTCCTACAGGCTGAAAACAGTCAGGGCACATACAGACAAATAGAATGTCAAAAGTGCAGTTTAACCAAATACTTGTTCAAGCAGTGGTTATTGTATGTTGGTTTCAAGCACCTGTTTGAAACCCTATTAAATTAGAAGGTAACACTTTATTTTAAAGGGGTCATATGACGTTGCTAAAAGAACATTATTTTGTGTATTTGGTGTAATGCAATGTGTTTATGCGGTTTAAGGTTAAAAAAACACATTATTTTCCATATAATGTACATTATTGTTTCTCCTCTATGCCCCGCGTCGATTTTTACAAAGCTCATCGGTCTGAAAAGTGTGCTCTGATTGGCCAGCTATCCAGTGCGTTGTGATTGGCCGAATGCCTCAAGCGTGTGACGGAAATGTTACGCCCCTTACCATACTGTGATGCCCTCCCCCAGCAGGACGAGACAAAACCAATAAAACCCATTATAAACGAGGCAGTTGTTGCATCCAGTGGGGACATAATTACTGATTATAATGACTTATACTGTCTTTTTACGCATTGCGTTGCGTATCGCGCCGCGTAAACATAAAACCATGTCTGCATTTGTGATCGGAGCAAGAGCTTGTATCACTTCAAAGAGAAAGGAAAAATCGAAATCGCATCATATGACCCCTTTAAAGAGCAGGTCATATGGGTTTTTGAAAAATATCTCTTTTGCAGTTTATAATGTAGCTATCCTTAAATGAAAACAATCTGCAAAGTTGTTAATCAAAAAAGTGCATGATACATAAGGATATTGTCTCTCAAAAGAGAGAGTCGATTCTGAATCGCCTTAACGAGTCGTCATATTTTCGAATCTTTAGCCTGTTACCGGTATACGTCACTGGGTAACACATTTGCATAATCCCCGCCTGCCCGCAAAATACGAACAGAGTCTGACCTGACCTTCCGCTAGTTAGTGTGTTTACATCATGTTGAGAAGACACTGTTCAAGGATACCACTGAAATACAATTCAAACCTTTTGTTGTGTGCATGTCATTTTACTAAGGACTGTTTCTCTAATCTTGGCTTTTATCTTCGTTGGCTTCTAATCTTCTTAATTTGGACTAGCAAGCTCTCCGAACCACAACCTGTAAGTACGGTTGATACGTTATGTGTACATTTTTAATTGAGTGCTCAAAATATCACGTTTTTGTGCTAATATGTGATGTACACCTAGTGCAGCTTTAGGTTTCCAGGTAAAGCACGATATTAGTCTTACTGAAATAGTTATGATAATTCGCTCTGAACCCACTATTTCCTAAGAATGTGTTGATTAATGTAGACTGACATTGTTCTAATTAGTTAGTTTAATAATAAAGAATGTAGTGTAGTGCACAGACTTTATAATCAGGGTTTGAAATTAACACCCGCCAACCCGCCAAATGCGGGTAAAAATCAGCTGTGGCGGGTAACACTGTCAAATCACTAGCCAGTTTGGCGGGTTACTTTTCGTAAGTTATGTTCACTCATTAATTTCTTTGGTAAGTTCATGCAAGCCAAATCTGCGCAGGTTTAGCGCAAATACTGAACTCGTGAGACATCATGACATTATCGAGTATATTGCAAAAACCAAACAAAACACACCTAAGTTACAAAGTGCACGCATACGTGACGTGATGTAGTCTGGTTAGACTAACTTTGTGCTGTGCGCATTTAGAGTGCATTCTTTCATTGCATGATTCAGTCTGTTAATATGCATTACGAATGATCACATAATTCAAGATAAGGGGGTTGAAAAATATATATATTTATATCAATTCATATAGTTAATATCACACGAAGAGTGCCGTTTAAAAAAAAAATCAGCATGGTTACAAATGTGATATTGATTTTATACAACAGTTCAATAAACAATAAGTTAATATCAAGAGACTTACGTTTTAGACACCATATTGGCTGTTTTTGCGTTATTTCGCCAACAGAAAACATTCCAAACACAGCGCTGTTTTGCGTCTCTGAGCAAAATCAACCGTTTAAATGATTCGGTTCATTCGCAATGACTCACTTAACAGTGACTTGCTGCCACTTACTGGCGGGTTTAATTTCACATTTAAAGTATCTTTTAATTTTTTTAATAATTAATTTAATATCACTATTCAACATTTCATGTTTAAAATATCAAAACATTATTTATGCATTTGTAACTGCAGGTTAAAGCATCCCATGTCCCTCTAAGCTGCATTAACATTTGTAAATACATCTAAATGCCACTTCATATTCAACTTCTGCAAATATGAATTTTATTGATACTGATTTCATTTGTTTAGTAACAGCCTAAATGTAGTATTGTTATAATTGCCTGATTAAATGTAAGAATTTGACTCAAAAGATGATGCACACTTTTAGTAAAAATGGATTTATAAAGGTAAAAATCAATCTAAACTTATTGGAAAAGATTAATTTCTATCACTGCTGTGTGTGAAGTGACCACACAGAATATGAAGAATATCAAAATCTTTAGGAGTCAGCTGTCCACGGTATCCTTAAGATATCAGCACAATAACACACGCAGCAAAATATTGTCTAATTACCTTTATCAATAAAATTCCAGAAAATTTTTAGATATTATTTTTTGTCAATATCGCACACCCTTAGTACCGACACAAAATGATTTGCAACAGTCGCTTTGTCATGTAGACAGCCTCAAGCTGTTGGTTTATTTCGGGGTTTTTTTGGCTGGTAGAAGTTATGAATGGCCGGTAACTTAAAAATTTAGTAACCAAATTGGCTGGTGAGTAAAAAAGTTAATTTCAATCCCTGTTTATGATCATTGTGAAATTGCTGTTTATTTTGCCGCACCAGCAGTTATAGGGTTAATGCGGGAGAGACCAGCGAGTTAGTTAGGCTGGTGCAATACAGCTGGTCTGTGTTCTGATTAAAAATAAAGACACAGAGCGTCTTTTGTCTGTCGTTCTTCAAACATTACAGTAGACATATTTTGGTTTACAAACTGTATTGTTTCATCAGTTAGTCACGTTAGCACTCGGCTAACGTATCCACCATTATTGTTTTAAGTCTTCACAGTTTAGCAGCTAAACTTTAGCTGTGGGCACGATTCGCTTGCATAAGTGTTTTGTATTTTATGTCATTATTATAAGAACGGATTGGAGCACTATATTATTGTTTTATGTAATGGTGCTTTGTCAATGGTAGCGCTCGCTAACTTGCTCAAGGACTCCTCTCTGTGCCAATCACAGCAGGCTTGGCCATGGCCAGCTGACCAATCAGAGCAGAGTAGGCTTATTGGATGGAAGGGGTTTGCTCCGAACTTGCTTGGAACGAATTGTTTCGAAATCATTGACAAATGACTCTATTATTAAATGTGTATTCTGAGAAAATTACAATGCTTTCTGACCTTAGATGCATTTAAACCTGTTGTAGGGGACTCCAACACAATATTAGGACACTTTAAAATACCATATGACTTGCTCTTTAAGATGACGTAGTTACATGTAGGCCTACTTACTATGGTAATAACAGTGGAACCCTTGTAAATGCAGGTTTGGGCAAGTTTGTCCCATGTTTTTAATGTTTTTATTTTAGTTTACAAAAATAAATTTGATTAAATATGATTTATTTTGGCCAAAACAATCAGTGTCCATTTCCATTCAGTTTTATGATTTTTTTTTTCTTAAAATAATTGTTTTACCGGTAATAGATATTTACACACATATATTTTAATGCAGATATGCTGATTATTTACTTAAGATAATCCTTCAGTAACTTTTTTTAAATCACAATATATCTGCATTAAAATGCACTCATATGAGTAGGCCTGTCAAGATAACAATTTTTTGTTGTGCGATATATTGCCCCAGAAATAATTGCAATAAGCGATATTATGGTCCTATTAAAGACCATTTTATGCCACTGAATATATAATCATAATGTAACAGCATAATAATGCAAGAAGGCCTACACACTTTCAAATGACAACAAACTTTTAATTTTTAAGAATGTTTAGATCATGGAAATTAAGAATCAAAATATTAGATACCTTAAAAAACTTGAATAAATAGTAATAAACATTTTCTAACAAAAAGTGCAAAGTAACAAGTACAAAAAAAGAAAAATGCACAAAGAACTTGTATGGAGATTTTTCCATCTACAGATTTTTTTCCTGACCTTTTCTCTGTAAATTAAGCGTGCACACTATTGCCGAAAAACACAACCACTGCTCAGCAGTCAGATGTCCGTATGCACAAAGGCACAGATCCCTAAACAAGACCATATCTGCATTGTCGCAAAACACAACCACTGCTCAGCAGTCAGATGTCCGTATGCACAAAGGCACAGATCCCTAAACAAGACCATATCTGCAGATGAAACTTTGTTTGTAGAAGCACTTTTTAAATTTGAACTAGTACCTCATAACTACACCACGTTATGTTCGAGAATCTGCAAAAGACACAGGCGCAAGTGGAATGTACAAAACATGGTGACATTAATTTTTAAGTAAATATAATGGGCGATATATTGTGTCACCAAAAATTGAGGTCATGTACATATATTGCGCGATAAGTCGATATATTGATTATTGCGACAGGTCTACTGCCAAGCAATATCTTTTCTTAACATACCTGTAGCCTCTTTACAGTAGAAAACACAGCAGCTTTGCTACATTAAAATAGAAATCAAATCTATTTTACGGCAGCTCTGAATGAGTCTTATCACATTGAAAACAGGAACCTACTGGTTTAATGAACAACCATTTTGATACAGTACTGGGATCGGTGCTGTAATGGAGACTGGCCTGCAGGACCCTAGCGTGATTAGATTTCATCTATGTCTGTTCTCATGTAATTTGCCTTAACTTAGTGCTGGGTCAGCTATTTTAAATTGTAAAATATTTCAATTTTTTTCTGTTTTTACTGTATTTTTGAACAAATAAATGCAGTCTTGTGAGCAGAAGAGACTAATATTCAAAATATTAAAAATTCTTAATTATTCCAAATTTTTGACTAGTAGTGTAAGTGCTAAAGGGCAACACCCTCTCTCTAACTCTTACAAACTGATCAGCTGCACCTATAGACAAGCAAGATAAGTCCTGTTTTCCAAAGCAAGATAAGTCCTGTTTTCCAATATATCTCCTATTTGATTTGTACAGTTTAAGAGTATAATTTCTATAGTGCTTTAATATAACCAAGCATTTTTCATCCTTCTGTAGGTGTTATAACTGTGGAGGTCTGGACCACCACGCTAAAGAGTGTGGCCTTCCACCCCAGCCAAAGAAGTGTCACTACTGTCAGAGTGTCACACACATGGTGGCCCAGTGTCCCCACAAGAGCGCGCTGTCCCCCTCCACATCTCAGGACCCCCAACGCCCCTCCACCTCCGCTCAGTCCCAGGAAGAGGGGAGCCAGTCGGGCTCATCGTCCTCTCCGGAGGAAGCATCTCAACGGGGGAGTCACTCCCAGCGCTGGAGGAAAAGCCGGGACTGAAAGCGACCGAAAGGTTCCTCATCCAGACGAAGCCCGGACCCGAAATCATCTACCTCACAGAGGAGACCCTCCCTCCCTTCCTTCCTGTGCAGCTATGGTATCAGCCGATGGGGGTCACGTGTGTACATGCGTGTTCTCACTGAGCAATCACAACAAACTCTGCGACTGGCGTGTGTGTGTGTGTGTGTGTGTGTGTGCATAAATGAGCAAGTGTATTTGAAGTACTAAAAATCACAAGGCAAAATAGATTACATTTAGAAGAAAAACATGAAACAGTGTTTTAAAAACTCAAGCATGAAGTCAACAGATGTTGCAGTTTGCAAGCCATTTTACCTCCATAATAGTGAAATGGGCTTTTGATTGAGTAAATATGTTTGCCGTGTACTGCATAAGTGACGCCAGTGAACTCGCTTCAGAGGAAAACTGAGTAATCATGTTACCTTTGTGATAACATGCACAGATTCATGTTAAAGGAATAGTTCATCCAAAAATTAAACTTTGCTGAAAATGTACTCCCCCTGAGGCCACACAAAGATGTAAAAGTGTTTGTTTCTTCATGGGAACAGATTTGGAGAAATGTAGCTTTACATCAGTTGCTCATCAATGGATCATCTGCAGTGAATGGGTGCCATCAGAATGAGAGTCCAAACAGCTGATAAAACCATCACAATAATCCACAAGTAATCCACACCACTACATTTCTCCAGATCTGTTCAGATGAAGAACCAAACTCAACTACACCTTGGATAGCCTGAGGGTGAGTAAAATTTAAGCAATTTCTTTTTGGGTGAACTAGTCCTTTAAGATCAGGAACGTGCATTAGGAAAGTAAATATGATCAATTTTGATTTCATGTTGACTTTAAACTAGATTCAGACATAATGACAAATAAAACTGCTCGCAATCAAGGCCCACTATTGTAGAATATTTACTAAAATGGTTTAGGTAATGGTTTAGCCTATTTTTGCCTTTCTGAAGCTGACCATTTAAGCTTTAGTTTAAGTTTTGTGGCCATGCTAATGTACTCCTAAACAAGGTGTTGCGCCCTTATGCAGTGCACATGTTCCGTACAAAATTTTTGTGTCACAGGGTCCAGTAAAAAAAATCACATTGCTTGCTTTTTTTTCATTCAGCTAATGAATGTAGGTGAACTGAAGCCTTAGATAGATCTGATCATTTAAAGCTGCTGGCGGAGATCTGAAAGCTACAATCATCCATTGAACAGTGAAGAACTGAACAAAAGTGCACTTGAACAGAGTAAGCATTGTTTACCCAGAATGCCATGCTGGGGAGGTTTGCTGTTTAATGTCTCAATGTCGCTGAAAGCTCCAGTGAAGTAACTGCCAGCAATAATTTCAGACCCTTTTCATTCTGTCGACCTTAAATTCTGATGAGCTTTGGAAATCCGAGAAAAGATTTTCAATAACACAGAAGGGTTTATAGAGCGTTACGGCAGCATTTCATCTCGTTGACGTCTCATTTTATCCTGATCTGGAGGGGATCTCATGAAACCTGCCAGAGTCATATTTTACCTCAAAAGAAAGAAATAATTAATTGATATATTTTTTTTACATTAAAAAAATCTTAAAGAAAATAAAGCCTATTTTACCATTTTAAGACATTATTTTCTTTGTCATTAAGCACTTCCCCTCATTCTCATTACTGTAATATGAGAAAAATTTAAATAATAATAAATAATATAAAAATTTAAATATTTAATTCCTAAAGTGTTTATACTTCACGGTAGTGTTGCTGACTTAAATAAAATAAATTTATTGCAGTATTTTTATATTTTGCAGTAAAAAATGAATTAAAGTAATGTGAATGCATGAGAATAAATGACTATTATTATTGAATCAGAGTAGTGACCATTTGGAGTGAAAATATTAGGGATGCACGATATATCGGCCACCATATCGGTATCGGCCGATAAATGCTCATTTTTTCTGTTATCGGCATTTTCATATCGGTGTATCCCTAGAAAATATGTTTATTTTTATGTATTTTTCTTTTGCCTCTATAGGGTAAAATATGACACATGCATGTTTCTGTGAGATTCATTTCATTCTGTAGATTTAAAGCTTTGAACAGTCTTAAGTTTCTGTATCTCCATAACATGAGCAGACGTGTGTGTGTGTAAGTGTGTGTGTGTCTCAGGCAGCGGTTTCAGAAAAGAGATGGGAGTGCTGCCTCACATTATGACTTGAACCTTCATCCTCCATTTGAGCTCTCTAAAGACAAGACGATGCCTCTCTGACCATACTGAATGTGTAAAAGATTCAAAGCGAGCTTATGGATTTTTTTTCTTTCCTGTGTGTTGACGAATCAAGCAGTGTGTCACACATGTCCCGTGGTTTCATTAGAGGGCGTAAATTAGCTGTATGTTTTGGTATAGACCTTTATACCAAAGACTGGCTGTGATTGAAGGCATTAGACGTGTGATGGCGTGACGCATGAATGTGTGAGTGTGTGTGTGTGCATCGTATTTAATCAAGTGCACAGAAAAACAATCTGAGAGAAAGAAACCAAATGACAGACATCGATAGCACAGACTCAGATCCCAAACCTCATACAGATTTATACAGTGTATTTTTGTACATTTCTACCCACAATTCTTCTCAGGATGAACTTCTCTCAGGGAACGAACCAAATAAGCGTATTTGATGTTATTCTGTAGGGAAGCGTTGACCATTAACTGAATCTATTGACTGTTGCTTATCAAACTCACCGACTCTTGTTCTCGTACGTTAGAACTACCTCCTTCAGTTTCACGTAGTCATGCTTTTCCGTTCGAGTCTGATGTTTTTAACAGAGCATTAGTTTGTTTTATTAGTCTGAGAAAGTAATAATTTGCTTTGTGTTTACACAGAAGTCTACCTCATTTTCAATCTCCAGTTCAACTCACTCTGGGGTCAGTTTGAGTTTTATCTTAACACTTCTGCTGAAAAAATGATTGTTTATGTTGTTCAATAGAAATCATCTGCTCATTTCTCTCTCTTTTTTAGAGTAACTCAACTAGTTTTTGAATGTGTAACGGTTCAGCATAAATCTAACACAGACTCGCTCAGCGTAACCCGCTCCAAATCTTCTCCATGACAGCTCAGTGCAAAGATTGTTTAGAATTTTGTGCCTTTATTTTTATTTTTATTGTTATGGCTGGACTTTTAGTAGGGAGGAAGTATGTTGTTATTTTGGGGCATTAGTTGCTATAATCTGTGACCCTGGACCACAAGACCATAAGGGTCAATTTTTCAAAATTGAGATATTTATATATCATCTGAAAGCTGAATAAATAAGCTTTCCATTGATGTATGATATTTGGCCGAGATACAACTATTTGAAAATCTGGAATCTGAGGGTGCAAAAATATCAAAATATTGAGAAAATCATCTTTAAAGTTGTCCGAATGAAGTTCTTAGCAATGCATATTACTAATCAATAATTAAGTTTTAATATATTTACGGTAGGAAATTGACAAAATATCTTCACGGAACATGATCTTTACTTAATATTCTAATGATTTTTGGCATAAAAGAAAAATCAATCATTTTGACCCATACAATGTATTTTTGGCTATTGCTACAAATATACCCCAGCGACTTAAGATTGGTTTTGTGCTCCAGGGTGACATATCATTCCGGTTGTGTTTACTTGTAACATCAGTACTAGAGAAGAACTTTAATACATTGGCAGCAGTATTAAATATATATATATATATATATATATATATATATATATATATATGACGTTATAACTACTGATTTAATGCTGTTTGGTTTGCAGTTGCAAATGCATCAAGAACGATATGCTTCTGCCAAAATGTTTGACATCAAACTGAAGTGATTTCTGAGCAGATTTTGTATTGTTTGAAATCAGTTCACTTTTAGCACTGAATGTATGAAACTGACCATAGCCCGGGACTAATGAACATAACAACTGTTGCAAAGTCTTGATTGTTATTGTAATGTGTAATTAATCACTGCAGTCTTAATAATCAGTCAAATCACGTTCTTATGAGTCTGTTTGATTTTGACACATACCTCTGTTGCCATGCGGCTGCTGAACTTTGAATAAGTTTGTCTCTCAGAGATGTAATATCTGTGAGTTGAAGAGCTGCCCTGTGTATTTAAACTTTGACGTGCTGTAAACCAGCGTACGGCTCATGAAGTCAGTGATGTTATATATGAGGGGAGACGGCGGGTCTTTGGTTTATTAACCCTCATTTTAACAGTCTCAGTTCTGCTGTCGAGATGTATTCAGAGCGGCGGTCATTTCTGTTTTTAACGTCATTAAAGCACTGATTGCATCTTATGATATTATTTGAAGAGCATATCATTCATTGTAACCACATTTATATGCATTTTGCCTTTTTGTCTGTGAATTTAGGACTTTTGAGTATGTTTAACTGTTTTACTTGATATTAAACCTATTATATCAACATTAAATATGTTGCATAAAAGTTCTCAACTGATGTTGTCATTTCAGAGGACAAATGTGGGAAATTGTTGGGCTGGTTGGTTTTGTGTGTGTGTGTGTTTTACAATATTGGGCCATGTTTTCAACTAATTTTAACATTAAAAACTGTTTACCAGGCTCACAAGGTCGAGTTAAATTGAATATGAGCTGAGTAAACAGTAAAATCCAAGATTTGTGTGATATTATTTATGTTATTTTCTGGCAATAAACATGTTGGAAAGTTAGAATAAAAAAAATCAAAGTCAAAGAGGGCAGACAGGGTAACAGCATGGCATATTAAGACTAAATTATTAAAAGAGATTTTTATTTACACATTTTGGAGTCATTTTTTTATTCGGTTGATTGTACTTACTTTAGTCTGTCAGCAGAGGTCGCTGTACAATCAGCACATCTGCAAACTCGCAGTCAATCTAGTCCAGTGGTTCCCAACCCTGGTCCTTGAGGCACCCCAACACTGCACATTTTGCATGTCTCCTTTCTCTGACGCACCAATTTCAGGTCTTGGAGTCTCTACTAATGAGCTGATGATCTGAATCAGGTGTGTTTGATTAAGGAGACATGCAAAACGTGCAGTGTTGGGGTGCTCCAGGACCAGGGTTGGGAACCACTGATCTAGTCAACTTCTCCGGTGGGTTTTACCGGACTAAAGAAG